CGGGGCCGGGCCGGGGCGGGGCTGGGACCAGGCGGGGGCAATCGTCAGAGGGAGGTTCTGGTGCCAGGCCGCAGGACCAGCACCTCGGTGGTGGCCGCGCACAGCGGACCAGGAGAGACTAGAAAACCCTCCACTCCCACCTGGTGTGAGTCCCCAAGGACACAGGCTTCGCTTTCAGTGAGACAAGGTCACACCATGTGAAGAGGAGTTTCCCATTTTTATTTAAAAAGAGACAGAGACAGCAAAGGGGCCTGTGTGCACATTGTACGCACACCAGTACCTGTGAAACCACATGGGCAGGGGAAGGGGGCTTGGACTGCCCTCTCCCATACCGAGTGACTTTTAAATATCTTATATGAACTTCTACAGAACAAAATTAACATGTACACACTCAGCATCCCTCTTCCAGCACCGCGTGCTCCCCTTCCCACCCAGGGGCTCCAGGACGCCTCTGCTGAGGGAATCCACCCCAGTAGAGGGAGGCGGCCCTGCCTGCCGGGGCATCGCAAGCCCAGGGGAGCGCTGGGCTGGAGCGGGACCTCGGGGCCATCCCAGCGCCCAGCACTGGGCAAGTGCTTTCCTGAAAGACACTTTACAAAAATACATTGTAACTGAGTATAATAATCTTCTCCCTTCCAGAAAGGGCCTGACAGGCGCTGTCTGCTGCTCACTTCTGCCCCATTCCAAATATTTTTACCTTATTTGGATGAAATGCATTATTTTTCTAATGAAAGGCTTTTTTTTCAAAGGGCTGTTTTCCCTCGTCCAGCAGCTGCCTTTATTAGGCAGCACTCACGCCGTTTTGGGGAGGGGTTTTTTCTCCCTGAAATCACGCCAGACTCTCTGTCCTCAAAAGCCGACACTGGGCGCTCGAAAGGCCTCAGGCCCAGGCTTCTCCACGTGACCCCAGGGCAGTGAGGCCCTGGGGCAGCCTCTGGCCACTGCAGGTGCTTCCCCTCCCCCCACAGCTCTGGCTGTGTCTCCCCCCCAGGCTATCTGCTCTCTGGTCACCCTGTCCGGCCCCACTGCCGGATGGACCGCTGGAAAATCAGAGATGAGGAGTGGTCACCAAGCTAAAGGGGGACGCCCATGACTGTCCAATCAGAACTGGGGGTTTCCACTCACCGAGGTCTGAGTGAGGGAAACCCTGCCTCAGTCAGAGGCCCGTCTGTGGAGGCTGAGGGTGCTTCAGATCAAGCCCAGCCCTCTGCCCATCCCTCCCTGCTCTCCTGCCTGGCTCCTGGACACTGGCGCATCTCGTCCAGGCTAGGCTGGTATGGTAGCCCCAGAGACAAAGAACCCTGGCTTCTTTGGGATGGCAAGGAAGCAGGGGTGACTCTCAGTGTGGGCTCTGCTTGTCCCTAGGAAGCATGTGGCAGGAAAACAGACCGCAGGGATGTCATACGAGGCTGAGCATCAGACAAACCCTGAGAAGCCAGGCTGGGGGTGCTGGGCACACAGCAGGGCCAGGGGGGGGCCAAGTCACCATGATCTGACACCTCCATAGTGCATCCCCTACAATCAGGAATGGGTTTGCTGCAGGGGGAGGGGATTGGGCCCAGAGCCCCCAAAGAGGGGCTAGGCAGGTGAAATGTTTTCTGAGACAAAACAGCCCCAATGCCAAGTCACCCACCCCTGGCCCTTGGGCTCAGTCACCAGGGCTGGTGGCCAGGTGGGAGGCCAGGTGGCTCCATGGTGGTGGCGCTGTGGCTGGGAGGCCAGTGAGGCACCTGCCACCCGGAAGGGTACATACCCACTGCAGACCTCCACCTCCACCTCCACCTCCCGGCGGCCGGCACGGTCCCTGCACTTTTCTCCAAAGCCTGTGTGTCTACACCAGGCACCCAGACGTGACCAGGCCCTCTGTCCCCACGCCCAGGCTCAGTACTGTGGGCTCGAGGGCGCAGAGCAGCGTCGGCTGTTTTCCTGGGTTTAGCTAAATGCTGTGTGAAGGTTAAAGGGAGACAGGGAGGGCGAGAGGGAGAGGAGATGGGGGAGGAAGAGAGAGCGAGACACACTCTCCTGGGAGCACTCATCCATTTAAGGAAGGAGAGCTCATCACACTCCACATCAGGTCTATATACAGTAACATGAGGTCCCTTCCCCTCCTGGATCAGCCTGTCGCCCTTCGGCAGACACTCGGGACCCAGGATGAAACCCTCCAGGCCTGGGGTGAGCGGCTGAGAAACCTGCCCAGGGACCATTCCCTCCCCCCCGCCCCCCAAGGCTCACCTGGCGAGGTCTTAGCCGAGACCCGCCCCCCAGGCTCTGGGTGCCAAGAGCAGACAGGGAGGCGCAGGCAGGAGTTAAATAGTGGCAACTCGTATTTATTACAATTATATACATTCGTATCTTGTATTCTGACACCTATACCTGGTAGCACAGACGAGCATGTGTTTCCGGGTGGGAGGACAGACAGGAAGGCCCTGATGCCTGGCTCCTGCGTGGGCATGAGAACCACCTCCGCCGTGGGGGGAGGAACTGAGCCAGGCCGGGGCCAGCGGCAAGCGGTCAGAAGCGCGATGTGATTTCATTTGTCTGGGAGGAACGCAGGGGCGCGGTGGGGCTGGGGCAGGCGCGCAGATGGCATCAGTTGGCAGGACCTGGCTGGGGGCCCCCGGAGGCCCTCGCCCCAAAGGAGCCACTGGGACACCATGACCCCTTGGCCCCTGGCAAGAAGCGAGGGAAGGAGCCTGGGAAGGGGGCAGGACGGGGGGACGGGGGACAGCAGACACCACATCCACGCAGCTCTCCCTCCTGTGAGGGTCAGGAGTCAGGTAACAAACTACCTCTTGTCATGCACGGTGTTAGGTTAGCTAAGACGCTCAGCAGACACTCCCTGGACAAGGCATTTGCCCAGGAGTCGCGGCTGAGGGGAGCTTCAGCCCAGAGAATCCAGTGCCCTGGGAGGCTGTGAGAACAAGGCCAAAGGCTGCCCGTCGGGCGAGCTGAGTGGCAGGCCAGGGCCGAGCTGACGGTGAGAGGGGGCTGGGTGGACAGATCGCAACCCCCCCGCGCAGGGGCCAGGGGTGCCTCCCAGAGCCGTTGGAGGAGCCGGGCCGGCGACACGCTGGGGGGCGAGCGAGGGCCTAGTTCCGCTCGTTCTCGTTGCTGGCGCCCTCGGGCCGCCGCAGCTTGTCCACCTGCTCGTTGATCTGCCCGTCCCCGCCCCGGCGGTCCTCCCTCTGCACCCCCAGGCGGTCCTCCTCGTCCACGCGGCTCACGCCCTCGTCCTCCTCGTCCTCCTCGTCCTCCCTCTGCTCCTCCTCGCCCTGCACCTCCATCCTCACCTGGCCCTTCACATCCACCAGCCCCTCGCCCTCCTCCTGGGGGCCCAGCAGGTGGTACGTGGCCGTGGAGCCCTCAGGGCTGTGGCCCTCCTTCACGGGTGAGGACGACGCGGACTCGTTGCTGACGGGTGAGATGTCACTGCTGCTGTGATGGTTCACGGCAGCAGGGCTGGAGGGCGACGGTGACTTGACCGGGATCTGCCAGGAGGGAATCTTCGGGGCCGATGGGGACGGCGGGAACTGCCTCCTGGCAGAGGAGCAAGGAGAGGGCAGGGTATGGCAACATCCTGGGGCTCCCACCCTGGGCAGGGGCACACGCTGCCCTGATCCTATGCCCTCAATGACTATGCCACCGAGCAGGGGACAGGACTAAGCTGTCACCCACTCTCAGCCCCTCCCAAACTCTCCTCTCAGAAACAAGGCCTCCTGGCCAGCTGGGTGTCAGAGTAGCCAGCACAGAAGCCAGAGGTGCCCTCGGGGCCCTCCCTGCCCTGGGCCTGGCCTGTCCTGTGCCCGCTCCCTCCTAGTCCTTACACCGTCCACGCGTCTAGCCCCAGGAGAGGGAGGTGAGGGTGGGGAGCCAGAACGGGAACTGGGCGGAGCCAGAGGACTGGGACCCCAAAACACCTGGGCCTCGACTCTAACTTGTTCATGGTGCTGCAGAAAGGGGGAGGGGGCTGGCCACCAGCCGCGGTCAGCGACATCGAAACCAGGGCAGCACGGGTGCTCTTTCTTAGAAACCCTGAACTCAGACTTAACAGGAAGAGCCAGTTCTCCACTCCCGCTTCCCCGCCCTGGGCCCTGGGCCAGCGGCTGCCCAGACCAAAGCCAAGTCCAGGAGGGGCCTTGGAGGTCAGGTCTTCTTGGCAATGGCTTGGAAATCAAGCTCTAGGACAGGCAGGCCATCTCTGCCTGAGCCAAGAGGACAAGGCCCTGATCCCTCCGGGCTGCCCACCGTCCCCTCAGTGCTGGGCCCGGGACAGCTCTTCCACCCTGGACCCCGTCGCACAGGGTGCACACAGCCAAGGCCTCGGCACCCTGGCATCACGGACACTAAGGAGAAACTCGGTGTGCAGCTTTCCCGGCTCCAACCCTACCCAGCGCCTGCTCTCTGTCCCCCTGGCTCCAAAGGCTCTGGTCTCCTAGGTCGGGAAACACAGAGGATTTCTCCTAATGACAACACGCTGGATGCCACCGAGCTGTCACATCTCTGTCGAGGTCACGTTTTCTTCAGAGAGGGCCTGGAAGTAGGTGGTTTGGAGCGGGGTCCTCTGGTTGGGGCCCCTGTCCTTGACCCTGGGTGAAGGGCCACCTTGTGCCTTTGTACCACCTCATGCAGCCCCCGCTGAACCCTGGGGCCCACAGGGCCTGAGCAAGGCCAAAAGGGGCCCCTGCAGGTCGGGTGACCAACCGTCCCAGTGACCAAGGACCACATGGTTCCCGGGACACAGGACTTTCACGGTCCTGGGAGAGCCATTCAGGGCCTCACCGATGACAACACCTCCATTGGGGGAGGGGGGGCTCACGGTAGGTGCTGTCCCTGCAGAGGGACAGCGGAGGGACACCAAAGGAGCTAGGGGTGGGGAAGGCCTGCACTGCTTCTGCTCCTGCCTTGAATCATAGGACCCTTCAAACTAAGGACCCCCTGGCCCTCTGTGGGGACCTTCTCTGGGAACAAGCTGTCACCGAGAGGTCCAGCTGGGGCTCAGGACAGAGGAGGTGGCCCTGTCTGGAGGGAATGGGGACGCTCTCCTCTGCTCAAGGTCCTGCTTTCCAGCTGTGTTTCCAGCTCCTTGACCAGGTCTTGACAGGGCTGAGGAGCTATTTCAAAACTCTTGTGGGCACTACAGACTGTCACCCCTGGAGAGGCGAAGAGGGGGCCTACTGGGAGGGAAAGACCCCCAAAGTCGATGCCTGGATCACAGAGCTCAGCCAGGGCTGGGTGGATGGGGGTCCCTCCCACAACAGCAAGACTGGCCCCAGAGCCGCCTTGTCACTCCCCTCCCCCCAACCCCCCAGGCTGGGAGTGGAGCAGAAACCTGCGCGTTAGGCTCCTACCGGTTTAAAAGAAGCCCTTTCAAGGAGTTAATTTCCGACTTGAGCTCATTGATGTTCTGGGACTCCAGGATCCAGTTGGTAGATGTGGTGGCCTGAAAGTCAAACACAGGCGACAAGGACCAGAGTGGAGCCTCTCTCCCGCCCTGCGGAGCTCAGACGGCTGGGGTGGCAGGAGGGGCTGTGGCTTCTGGAGGTTCCTGGGCGCCCCAGGGGCATTCTGTGTCCTGTGCACCAGGCTGGTGGCCCCTTGGGAAGGTCCTGCCACTGCCCGTTCAGGGGTCTGCCTGCCTGGGTCTGTCTGTTTAAATGACGACACCCTTCCACAACCTGACTGGCTATCTGACAGTATTGAGGAATCCTGACATGTATTTGGGTGTAAAAATGGTATTCTGGTTACCTAAAATAAAACCACACAACGACAAAAGAGCCCTTATCGTTTAGAGATACAAACCGAAGGGTTTGCGGTATGAGATGAGACGCTGTCTGGGGGGAGGGGTGCGGCAGACGTGAGGCAGGATGGGCCCCGAACCGCTGTACTGGGGGTCCTGTGGGTTACTGCGCGGCCCCTCCGTTTCTGTGTTTGAAATGTTCCATAAACACAAAACTAGTAAAACAAACTCCATCTCTACACCAACTACACTCCACCTGAGTGCCTCTCCCTCAGAGACGGTCGCCCCACAAACAGACTGTCCCCGGGGGCCACCTCGGAAGGTCAGGGAGACGGCCGCATCTGACCACCTGCTGGCCTCGCCGACGGGCGTGGCCGAGGGGGACACCTGTCACACTGCTCGGTTCCGTAAGCTCAGGCCCCGGACTGCATCCTCTGTCTGCAATGCCCTGACCTGTGGACCACGCCACCCATCCATAGCCGTTCTTTGAGGGTGACTCTGAAGGCTCAGCAGACAGAAGCAGCCATCCTGGGACTCAGCCACCCTCCTCCAAGGAGGGTCAGGAGGATGCAGCCACAACCACCTCTGACAAATGCCACCTTCCACACACACCGTTCCCCTTTGGATGTTTTCCATAGAAAATTCAGAGAACCACACCTTTCTCTGGGCTAGACGAAGAGGAAAGCCAAAACGGTGCCCCGCCCCCCCCAAATGGTAGCTGCCAGTTGCCAAGCTGCCTGTGAAGTGTTTATGGGCTGATTCCAGGTGTGATGGCCTCAGGTGTGTGGGCTTGCATCATCCAGGCCAGAGGCCACCCGGGGGTGGGGGAACCCCACTTCCCTTATACAGCTACCCTGGCCGGCCACAAAAAACCTGAGCTGTAAGTTCAGGAGAATGTGGGGGCCTCAGGCTGGCAGAGGGGAGGGGCCCTGGACAGCAGTCTCTGATGTGGGGTGGGGGCTGCTTGGGCCCCACCCCAGCCCACCTTTACAGGGAGAAGCCCCTCAGAGGGGCTGCAGAGCGGGGGGAGGAAAAGCGGGGCAGCCTCAGCATGAGCGCCCGGAAACGCCCACCACCCTCATCACATGCCCTCAGGGTCCCCACTCCAGACCACCAGACAGCTCAGATCCAGAAGCCACTGTTCTGGCTTCTCTGAAACCTTGAAAGCTACAGCGGCCCATTAACAAGGGGGCAATTTCCACTCACCGGCCTACAGAGGACTCAAATTTCTAAACGCATATGGTGCCAGATGCCAGGATTTAGAAATAAAATCTGACATCTGGGGCTTTTTAGCCAGTCTCTTTAAAAAACAGTTGTAGAAAACTCCCAGCCTTGAGTTTTATGTAGGTTTCTTAATTACTTAACGCTCTTCTTTTTAATTTTTTATGGTGCTGCAGTTGGAGTTTGGAAGCCAGATATAAAAACTTACATTACAGCTGAGAAAACACAGCTCTGAGTCTTTGGTTTATGGGGTAACCAGTCTTCACACATGTGGGTTTAGACACCAAACCAGTGAGCCCCACTTGAGTACAGGAGACAGTGAATGAAAGGGGGTTGAGGATGGGTTGGGTCAGGGGCGGGGAGGGCGGTGGGGGGGCATGTGTGGGGGGGGCGTGCATGGCAGGGGGGTGCAGGCGGACCATCAGGAAAACACGCACAAGAAACTCGGACAGCTCTCAACCACCAAGCACAATCCTGGGCCCCTTTCCCTCTTAAAAAGCAACATGTGGTCTTAATCTTAATGGTTAAGGTCTGAAAACAGTTTTCCAATTTCCGGAATGGCTTCTGGCCACTGGCAGGCCACAGCCCCAAAAGATAATTGAGGAGCGTGGGGCGGGGCCGCGACCGGCCTTTTGGGTTCTTTACGGGCCGCTGCCCCTGGGCAGCAAACACGTGGCTGGAGGTGGCCACCGGGCAACCACGCCATCCGAGGAGGAAGTGCAGGCAGCAGCACCTCTGTGGGGGGGAGTTTCTGAGGGGGGATTCTCAGGGACCCTCCTCACAGGAGGCACCCCAGATTCCATAGGAAATGGAGAGGTTCCCATTTTGCTGGGTTTGTGCAAATGCAGCAGATCTGAGCGCTGTGCACTGGGGTGGAGCTTCCCCTGGGAGAGCCACTCAGACTGAGCTCTTTTACAGCAGCGGGTGGTGGAAGCAGCCGGAAAGCAGCACGGGAGAAGTGGATGGAGCAGGGAGGTCAGTGGGCATCCTGGAGCCAATGGGCCACTGTCTGCTGGGCCCAGTCTGTCCGAGACGGTGCTTCAGGAATGACCTTGTCACACGCCTACAGAACCCAGGCCAGAGGCCTGCAATCCTGGGAGCTGACTGAAGCCAAGCACCGTCCTAAGCATGTAAGGACAATGAAGGAGGTACCGTTATAGCTCCATTTTACAGATGAGGAAACTAAGACTCACAGAGGTTAAGCAACTCGCCTGTGGTCACAGCTAGCATGTGGCAGCCATCTGATCCCACAGTCTGCTACTACTAAGACCGCTTCAGATTAGGAAGTAAGGCATGGAAGCTGCCCCATCGATCCAGTGGGCGCTATACTCTGTTAGGGGTTACCTGACCCCGAGACCTGGGGTTAGAGAACCTGCGCATTATAGCTGAGTCTGCCTTGACACTCCCTCCACCTCTCGCCCCAGTTCCCTCAGCAACTCGGACCTGTGACCTAAGTTGCAGGTGGAGACCATTCCGTGTCTACACCAACTGCCTCCAGAGCTGGGGTGTGTGCTGCCATGGGAGGGCCACAGGCAGAGAGCTTTGCATCCCTTCTATTGGGAGGTGACAGGGGAACAGACAGGACGGCCTCCATCGCTGGACGCCTCCTTTCTCTATAAGGCGGTGTGGGCCCATCATGCGACCAGCGTGAGAAAAGACAAAGTAAGACCTCACTAAACGCAGTGAACTGGGCACAAAGGACAAGCGTGCAGAGCCGTGCAGGGTGGAGCTGGAGGGGCCAGAGGGTCAGGGACAAGTACCTTGGCTGCGGCCAGTTCCTGGGCGAGCTCCTGGACCTTCTGCTGCTGCTGGGTCAGCAGCTCCTGGACAGAGGCTAACGTCACCTGCACCTGAGTCACTGGGAGGCAAGAGCGGTCAGTGGCATCTCTGTTGAACGGTAGAGACTCTTCCCTCTGTTCACACACCCTAAGCTGCAGCACCTAATTTGTCTGCAGACGTCCCCCACCCCCGCAACCCGTATAATTTATCTGCACTCTGGGTAATCCACCTGCACTGTATCTAACCTCTAGTATTTCTACTTTATCTTTCTATTGTGTAGTTGTCCGTGGTCAACAGTATATCCATCCAAAACCTCTCCCCTCTAATTATATCTGCTGATGATTTGCTGGGCTCTTCCAACTTCTGTAACGTCCGCATCCCTCATCTCACGGCCTCACTGTGTCCTTGTGGGATTCGTGGGAAGTCTCCAATCATGTCAGAGACGCATCTCGGGTCTCCACGCTGTCCAGGAGTGGTTAAAACGGAAAGCCCGGGTCCCTGCTGCTCCGCCCTGCCCTCCCCACCCAACCCGGGGGCTGCGGAGCTCCCGGGGTCACGGGACCTGTCCAGGCCTTGGGGCCAGCACCCCCGGAGGATTTCCGAGGGCCGGCAGCCTGGGACAGAGGCTTTCTCATTTGCCTGAGTTTTTAGACTCTCAGCCTCTATCTCGTAAACAAGTTAAAAAGGAGAAAAGCCACCTCTGGCGCGACAGGTCCCAGCTAATCTGGGCCATCATTGGGGCACCGGGAAATGAACGCAAGCCCCATGGAGTCGATGACAGAGGGGGTGGCTGGGGTCCCGGGAGCCGCAGTAATTACAGCCTCTCTTGACCCTGTGTTGGATTCTTACAGGGAAGGGGGGAAATCGCTGAAAACCCCCCTGAAAACCTCATAGAAGCAGAAATTAAAAATGAACTTTACAGCCCTTAGAAAGGCTGTCATTTTATTCCCCTTATTAATATTCTGAGGTTGGGAGCCTTTCCGTAAAAACATAATTAATTGAGGCCGCGCCGACAGTAAACAAGCAATTTCAAATTAAACCGAAATGACGGCGGCTTCATTTGCAAATGTGAACAGATTCTCAGAGCAGATAAATGAAGTCACCACATAAAGTGGAGATGGAGGGGTGCGGGGAGGGGGCCGAGAAGGGGCTGCCTGGAGAGGGCTTTGAGGGGTGACTTGATGGAGCCATTAATCTTCACCTGTCTGTGCCACGCTGCCACTCAGCTCCGAGAGACTCGCCTCCATCCTCGCCAGTTGCTTCTTGTCCTCTCGGCCGCCCGTGATGAGGGGGTGCAGGTATTTCTACAAGAAGCAGGGTGGGCGGGGCAAAGGGTGCGGATTTGGGTTATTCTCCAACAATCTCATCCTGCAGACCAACTTTCTGTCTGTCACCCCCAGGTTCTGGAAACTTCTGGGCAAATACCACCAATGAACAAGATATTCGAAAGTTATGAGGCTGCGATTACAACCAAGTAAAAATTCTGTCTGAAGAGGGACAAGGAGCAGGAACAGGATCGAGGGGAATCCGTTTGATTTATTCTTATGGAAAACTGTTTGGTTCTTTTATTTAGTTTTCTTCATAGTGCAGTATCTATTATTTCTGTAACAAGAATATGTTAAATTCTACTTTAGAAGTTTTAAGATAAAAATGTAACAGGTTACACAAGAAAGTGACACCACTGGTGGCCTCAAGAGATGACAGCTTTTTACTGGACATTTTCGTGAACTTGTAACATTTTGACCCCCGTGAATGAAGTATCCATTAAGGAACAAATGAGTCAAATTAAATAAATCAATCATCCGAGATACTAGGTGGGGGCCCACAGCCGATTTCCGGGACCTTTGCTTCTTTCACCAGGGAAGAATATATGGCTATTCTAGCGCTACTGGAAGAGGTGCCTCAGTCCTTTCCTGAATTCTCCTTGAATCTTCAGAACACGTTTTCTTCACCTAAGAGTCAGATGCAGTCAAACTCCCCGAGAACCGAGACCCAGGGGCAGAAGGGAGAGGAAAGGGCAAAATCTGAAGACACTGACCACGGGGAAAAACGGGCAACCAAGCAGGGGGGACCCCAAATGTGGGGAACCCAGGCTGGGGAGGATAGGGTCTCGGAACGTTCAGGAAGAAGGCAGGTGAAGTGTAGCTGGTAACTGGGGAGGGGGGGCGCAGGTGGGCAGCAGGGTGGTCACTGGGAGAGCTGAGCTCTAAAGTCCAAATGCTCAGGATTTGGCACCCTCCCCGTTCAGAGCGTGAGACCAGCCAACTCTAACCAGTGGCACTGCAGCGCTCTGTGGGCTGGCAGTGTGGGAACCAGCCAGTGTGACAAGGAGAACTTGGCCTCTCACTCCACTTGGGCCCCAGAGAGGAAAACAGACAGCAACTTCTCCATTAAGGTTTCTGTGCTGGGGAAGGAAAAGGAGGTCTCTCAAAGGGGTTTGCGGAGAACTCATTTCTCGAGCAGCTCCTGAGTGGAGGTCATTATTTAGCACACGTGCAGAAGCGTCTTCTACTCTGCAAAGTGCTTTTCAACCACCGTGTGAGTTATTACCTACAACGGAGCCGAAACTCACCAAATGTAGCCTTACGCTCCAGGTCGAAAATTTCCTAAGTATGAAAATCAAGAAATTCTTATACATGTGATGAACTAAAAATTCCATTTCTGAGATCAAGAATGCTGAAGGAAGGAACACATACACTACCCCAGCCGAAATCTCTAAGTATTTATAAAACAAGATGACGGCTTACCTGCCCTCCCTTTCTAATTTAAAGAATCTATTAGCAAATGCTTCAGAGATTCTCATCACCACTGTGACTGATCTTTCGATGTCTCTTTTCTTTTTTAACAGAGAAGAAAGACCAGAGTTTGGTGGACACAACCGAGGATGTGTCTGCTTTGCTGTCCACACCAAGGGGAGCCCTGCTTTCTGTTCCCATCAGATCACAGGCCATCTGGGGGCGGCCATGTGACGGTTCAGTGCTGCTCAGCGCAGCCCAGACATGAATTTAAGCATTTTCTTCTTGGCGACTGTATACAGTTAGTGATCGGAAAGGGGCTCTCCTCACACGAGGTAAGGGGGGCACTGGGTCAGAGGTGAAGTCCAAGGACACAGGACTTTTGCTTCTGGGCTCCTGACATAAAAATGTCCAGCCCCAAGAATAGATGTTACATCAAAAAATTTATATTCTGCTACCACTCCGTCACTAGCTTTGCACTAACTCAAAAATCACGAATCCGAGAGTGCAATGTTTAAACACGTTTCACGTGCTAAAAGTTACAACAGTGAGTCTGGGTATTTATTGCCGATTCTTTTAAAAAAATCTCTCAATGAGGGGTCGAGTTGCAGGCGACCTCGAAAGGAAAGGGGCTGCTCTCCAGGACCAGCACAGAGGAAGCCCTCCGGCCACTGTTCTCCCTTTCGTCTCTCGGCACCCAGACGGGCTCTGCGTCTTCTAAAAAGACTCATTTGCTTCAAATCAAAGTCAGTTCCTGATATCAAGGGAGTAAGAGTTCATGCGTGCCTGCAGTCCTATTGGAAGCAATGACCTCTGGGACCCTGAGGGTTGACTAAGAAGTCTGGGGAAAATCCTAGGTTTACATGGACGCCAACATAATATATAGGAAACAAAAATTGGATCCCATAAATAAGATTATGCTGAGCGTTTCAAAGCTGGTCTTAAATACTAAGGTAGAACAGTAGCGTGCAGAGCACGTCCTGCCTGCCATGCACACAGCATTTCCCAAAGAAGCACCTCCACATTTCTCAACAGCCTTGTGAGGTAGGTTGTGTTGTCCCCATCTTGCAGAGGAGACCACTGAGCCTGTGGTCACACAACTAATGGACAGAATCGGGGTGCAACCGGGCAGCTGGGCTCCACCGTCCACCCTCTAACCACCATGGCACTAGGTCTCTCCAGACTTTGGGGTTGCTTAGCATGTGCCAGGCTCTGTCCTAAGTACCTGGCATGGCTCACCCACTGACGGGCCCCATGGTCACCCCATAGAGCGGGGACTTTGAGGGGAGATGCCAACCAGTGGATGAGGTGGGGATGGAGGCAGGACCTGGACTTGAACCCTCCAGGGAGTGTTCATCAGCACAACCATCTCTACACACAGCGTAGCTCCTGCTGTCGCGCCCCAGGGCTGGGAGCCTCTACAGCTAAAGCTCATGGGAGGGAGAGTAGGGCTGAATGCGGAGCGGGGCCATGGGGAAGGGCAGTCTTACCTTGTAAAGCTGGTGAAAGCCGAATGCAATTCCTGCCATGATGACGGCCAAGGCACTGTAATCTCTCCATCGGGAACCCGCAGAGCCTAAGGTTGGGGGGAAAGGCGCGTCAGGAGAACAGGTACAGGCGTCCTTCCCCGGGGACACGAGAGCACGGTGCTCAGTGTCCACATCTCACAACACTGACATCTGCAACACCCAACTGCAGAGGATGGTGCGTGGCCATCAGGGGCACCGGCCGGGCTGCGTCTCCCTCCTCGGGCTGGCTCTCGCAATTATCTGCCTCAATGCGCGCCTGCGGTGTGGAGGGGGCTAGAGTGAGGGAACCCCCCCACATGGGGAGTCAGCAGGCAGAGGCGATCTGAAGACCAGAGCATGGTGTCCACTCGCGAGGAGCGAGACGTCCAGTGAGGCTGACACAAACATACTTAGGCATGTACAAATGCACGTCCACACGCCCCTACAGACAGGGATCCGCTTTGGGCCCCTTCAGAGGGGGGTGGGGGCGGGAAAACGCTGCATCACCTGTTTGTCCATCCCTTTGTGAAGCACTGACTCTGTGCCTAACTTCCTGCAGGCACAGGAAGGGGGCACAGTGGGCAGGGGCCCCCGCCCTGTCTTGCTCTGCTCTCCCGTTGAGCTGGTGGAGAGGAGACAGCCTACAGATGACTGAATGAGGTAACTCCCGAGTGATCAAGAAGGCCAAACAGGGTGATGGGAGAGTGGGGACAGCAGGGAGGGGGCCAGGGTATATGCTGAGACCTGCAGGGTCCCAGGGACGAGCTCCAGGCTGGGGACGAACAGGTGAAAGGCAAGGGCTGACCTGTGCTCAAAGGAGAGCTGGCGGCCAGTGCAGAAGGGGGAGCCCCTGGGCCTGACCAAGCTGGAGGGCTACTGCCGGCCAAGAGAGCCGCAGGTCAGAGAGGGCCAAGTGAGCCTGGGGGCCATGGCGGGGGCTGGGCGGGAAAGAGGTGGCGAAGGCAGGGCCAGGCGGGCAGCGTGCCCAAGGGACCCCAACGCCATTTCACACGAGCAATGCGGTCATGAAGGTCTGAAGACAGGAGTGACGTCATCAGCTCTCTATTTGGGGGAACAGCCGTGGCTTCGAGGGCCACAAAGGGCAAGAGGGACTGGGACCAGGACCGGAACGTCTCAGCAGGACACGGCGTTGCTGCCGTGGGGCAGCCCTGGAAATGGGCAGCCAGTCTTCATGGAGGAGCAGGCTCCTGGCCCAGCTCCACCCAGCGAAAGCTCCACCCAACTCCAGGAGGAAATGCCACTTCCACAGGAGCCGAGGGAGTTTCCTCATCACTCCCACGCGCCGTCTGCAGAGTGCTTCCATGGCCGCAATCTTATCAGAGGCCCCAGCGATCCTGGGAGGCGCGTGGGAAAGAACTGCCTCCCTTTCGAATGTCCACCAAGAGCTGCCATGTCCAGCCCATCCAGCGTGGCGCTCTGCCTCCTCTCAAGGGATCTGCCTTTGGGGGGCATGGCCACTGTTTCCAGAACCGTCGGCTCTGTGGGACACCGATCAGTCTGTGGGATCAGACCACAGCGCCCATGGAAAGGTATCCAGAAGGCACCCACCCGAGGCATGCTGCTGTGACAAGGAAGTGGGATCTGGAAGGGGATTTGGGAGAGAAACGGTGAAGAGGGAGGAACAGCAGCATCCCCGGAACTCTTGACAGGAGCACTGCTCAGCGGGGCAAAGCTGAGGCAGGAATTTCTTTAGGACCAACACCCGACACTTGTGTGCTTCATTCAGCCTTCATCTCGCCCCAGCCCGCAAGCTCCCGAGGTACTTGCCCCATCCTGGCGTTTCAGGACCGAAGGAGAGCAGGGAGGGACGGTCCTTAAAGCTCAGTGGTAGGATGTGGGCACATGGGGAGGAGGGGCTGGTGGCCTGTAGCCTGACTAGGGGGAGCCTGGAAGGCTCTCTCCTTGGCCAATGCCCTCACCCCCTCCCCACGCCCCACCCATGGATTCCACGTGAGTTTCCCAATGTGGCCCAGCCCCGAGTTCTGCACAACTGTAATCAACAGGTGGCCTCTCACGCAGCACTCAACTCCCGTTTTGCTGTTATTGGGTCTTCGGAAAAGTCATGACGTAATTTGTCTATGTTTTTCAAAGGTCATTTATTTATATAAAGAACAAAGATCAGTCAATGATATATTGCCCATTTTGTTCGATAACCTTTGGCCATCTTTCAGTGAGCTTCATAACTCCTCATTTATAGAAGGACCTGTCTTTATTTGTGAAAAAATGAACAAGGTGCTGATTTACAGCCTCATCTGAATTGAACGTTATACCATGCAAGGAGTTTTGAAGAGAGAGAGACAAGTGGAAGTCTGATGGGGCAAGGTCAGGCAAGTATGGTGGGTGTGGCAACACATCCCAGCAAAGCTCCAATAATTTTTGACAGGTGATCAAAGGTGTGTGGTCTTGCGTTGTTGCGATGGAACACAACTCCTTTACAATTAACAAGCTCTGGACATTTCTGGATGGTGGATTCGTTCAAACCGTCCAATTGCCGACAGTACACATTCGAATTGATTGTTTGGTTCCTTGGTAGGAGCTTGAAAAACACAACACCTTTAAAATCTCACCACACAGAGAGCATAACCTTCCTCTGATGAATGTCTGCTTTCGATGTCGTTTGAGGCAAATCATCTCACCGGGACCAAGACCGTTTGCGCACCACATTGTTGTAAACAATCCACTTCTCATCACCAGTTATCAGTCACTTCAAAAAAGGATCGTTTTCCTCACGTTTAATGAGCATATTGCAGATGTTTATAAGCGCCGTCAAATGAACTTCTTTGAGTTCATGCGGAACCCAAATATCGAGCTTGCTTACGTATCCCAGCTTCTTCAGGTGGTCATGAACACTTGAATGATGGATGTTCAATGTTTCTGCAATCTCTCGTGTTGTGTAACATGGGTTTGACTCTATCAATGCCTTTATTTTGTCGTCATCAACCTCAGTGGGCCTCCCTGACCGAGGAGTGTCGAGATCAAAATCACCAGCACGGAATTTTGTGAACCATCATTGGCACTGACGTTCTTGTAGAGCACTGGCACCGTAAACTTTATGCAACTTTTCACAAGCTTGACATGCATTCTTCCCTTTATGGAAGTCAAACAGTAAACTATGGCAAAAATGCACAGTTTGGTCTTCCATCTTTAACTTGTTGTAAAATCTCCAAAACTCAACCAAACCGCTCAATTTTTTTTTAGAATGAAGCTATAACTGTCAGCTGTCAAATGACATAGCAATAACATAGATGCGAATGACTCTAGTACTTCCAAAAACGAACTAGTGTCACCTGTTGCAAACATGCGTCATGACTCTTCCGAAGACCCAATGGTTTTCGAATAGGTAATCCACACGTGTGGCCTGAACATCACACAACTTATGACAGTTACTGCAAACAGGCTCCCTCCTTCCCCAACAGCCACTGCTCCGAGTTTGCTGTTTACCCTGCAGGGGAATTTTTACGCATATATAAGGCAACACAGATATGTATTCTTTTCCTTCTCTTTTCCCCCTATTTCTCAGTCTTCTTTTTTCTGTGGCTGCTTAATATTCCATTTAACCAATTCCCTATTGACGGATGGTTAGGGGATTCCAGTCTTTTACTATTTCACACAGTGCTGCCAACCATCAGTAGCCATGTCATCTCACATATGCTAGTATGTACAAGTACATCTGTAACTGTGAATTCCTAGGAGGCCGGGTCAGAGGTATACGCATTTGCAATTTGGACAGAAACTGCGCTCCCCGGGGGCTGAACCAGTTCATCCCCACCAGCCAGGTACACTCATAGCCACTCCAACATAATGGGTTAATCACACTCGTAGATTTCTGCCAATGCTACAGTGGAAAAACAGTACTTCACTCTAGCTTTAATTTGCATTTATCTTATTATGAATGAGGACTGAACATCTTTTCATCTGTATTTCCTTTTCAGTTTACTGCATATGTTCCTTACTTTTCTACTCCATTTTAAAATCAATTTCCTTATCAATTCACAGAAACTTTTTATATAGCAGGGAAATTGGCCCTTTGTTGATGACAGGAGTTACAAAACTCCCAGTTTATTTTTCTTTTAACTCTGTTTATGCAGGTGGTTTTCATATTTATATAAATATCTCAATCTGTCTGTTTACGGGCTCTGGGGTTTGGGTTAGAGAGCCGGGGCTTCCCCACTCCCTCCCAAGCTATGCAGCGACACTCAGGGTTCACGTCTAAGAAGTCATCTCCGAAGGGGAGCTCTGCCGCTTTGACCTGCGGTAACATCCGACGCGAATCTGCATGGACAAGCAACCGCCACTTTTGAAATCCAGCCAGGAAGCTCTAGGTCCCAGGCACACCTCTTTTGTCTCATTTCTGGCCTCCTCTGCTCAGAGTACCTTGATACAAACGCCAATATCTAGTGCAAGTTCACTTTTAGGAGGAAAAAGTGAAGATACCGGGCCACCTTTCCTCTCTTCAAGAGAATCACTGTTCCAAGGGGCTTTAATCCACACCCAGAACATCCGTCTGCACTGCCAAAACCCTGAGAGCATCTTCAACATGGGCACGTGTCCAGAATATTATATTCAGCACTAATTCTCCACACTCACTTAATACCTTACAGGAAAACTGATGCAGCTGAAAACTGGACCAGAACCGAGAGCATGTGCTGGATCCCTTTCCCGCAAACACGCCGCGCCTCGAGAATGTGGCCTCTCATTCTGGGTACCGGGGCTAAACAGGTGTGGGCAGTTCGGGGGTCCGAGGACCAGGGCCTTTCCTACAGCGGCTCTGACCTCCTCAAGCACCAAGAAACACCTGTGGCTCCCTGCCAGCTACACCCTTCAGCCCCACACCGCTCCCGGTTCCTGCCATGCTCGCGTGAAGAACATTTTATTGCCCCCTGGTTTTCATTATTAATGAAAAGGGACCAGAATGATCTTTCCTAAAGTTCAGGGAGTCTATAAAGACAAGAAGCTGAAATGCCATTTTACTCGTTTTGGAGATGTGTGCGATACAACTCTGTCTTGTGGCAAAATGAAAAAGGAGACAAACTAAGATGTAGATAAC